CTTTACTTGCAGAAAGAAATCCATTTGTTTCTTCAAATGCATCCTTGACTGTTAGCGCTCTGAGCTATACATTAACACTCGCTTTCAACTTCAAAACCTGACTGGAAAAGCCCACAGCTAAATGCCAAGGTATTTCTGGAGCCCGAGGGGTTTCAGATGTCAGCATTTCGGAATACTCTCTTACAATATCCACTTGTCACATCAAGTGCCACAAAACCTCTTCAATGGGAAAAGCCACGTGGATTTTTTTAAATGTGGAATAGCCACATTGAAGGGGTGGATCATCACAGAGTCACCCGGGCTGGGAAACACTAGTGCAGAGCGCGCCGATTCACTTCCCGGCGTGGGGAGCCAGCAGGCAGGTTACTGCCCCACCCCTGCGACCACTGACTCGCACCTCGGCCGCACTTTGCAGAAGAAAATCTATTTCTATCCCGACACCCCCAAGGACACCGATTCCTAAAGCACTGGCAGCAGTGGCTCGCCATTTCTTCCGCCTTGCCATTACAGCCCGCTTCAGAAAAGCTTTTTTCCCAGAAATATCACCTCCATAACCACCAACTCCACCACCAACTCTCAATGCCGATTCCAGAGGAATGATGAATGCTAATTACCTTGCTCTGGGACTGCTCACTAACAATCGACGTCTCCAGTGTCACATATTGACAGCTTTGTTTTGACACGCTCATCATGCGCTACATAATTAGCGCTTTCAGCACTTAAGCATTAAACATTTCAGCCAGACTTTCCCAATGACAGACAAGGAGGTTGAGAACCGACTCCTTACCGAAATGTTCCACATCATTTTGATAGCTAATGGAAAAGCCTCTTTCGGTTGATGTTTCTCTACGGGCTCCTCTTCAGCCGCCTGCGAAGCTGAGCCACGATCCCGCTGCACGGCTGGCCCCTGCCCTGCGAGACGGCTGCTCCCTGCACGGCCCTGACGATCGCGAGAGAAAGGAATAGCTGCTTCGTACACGGCAGCGCTGCAGCCCTTCCCGATGGGTTGGCCAATGAGATATTCTTCCAGCTTGAAGCCCTGCCAGCGGAAGGAGCTCAGGGGATCTTTCTGCGGCTTGTTCTTTCCGACAAACACTGTCTGAAAGGAATAAGAAAAGACAACGATATAAAACCCGCTCAGTTATTCAAGACTTCCCAGTGAAGGAGAACTCCCTTACTGTTTAAGCGGTATTACGTGTCCCATTGGGTTAGTCCAACCTGAAAGCCACAATCAGGCTCTAACTATTACCGCTCAAATCACTGTAACCATAGGGAAAATAATTTGCAGGCTGTATATTTTTGTCTGAAAGAGATTACCCTGAAAACAGTCTTTACCACAGGTGCCCTTTCCGAGGGTGCTGTAGAGGAATGGGGAGGGGGAGTCACTTGCTAATCCAGAACATAAATATGTTTTGTGAAGACAAGTCTAACTCAATACTTCTAGAAAGAGATGCACTGTTACACTTTTCTCCCCCTCCATAAATAAACCAGGCAAATAGCATTTAAAAGAAAATCCAATTAAGAGCAACAACAGATGGAAAAACAATGCCCTGAGCTTTTGTGGCAGCTGAGTACGAGGGTTGGTTAGCTCGAGGAAGAGTGAATCCGTGATGGGAGAAAGCTGGGGGAGGAAATCGAAAGAGACGTGAGAAAACCAAGCACAGGAGGGCTGTTCTGGAGTTTAACCACAGCATTCGTGACCCTACAGGTCTAGTGGGACCACAGCTGTCACCCGGACGTGCCGGTGGCTGCCCCAGTGGCAAAGGGACACAGAGTCAGGGACGGCAGAAGGGGGAAGGCAGCAAATTTAACTACCCAGCATTGTCAGGGGAGAGAAAGCATCCTGAGAAACTTCAGGGAAAGGCAATGTGTTTGTCTGCCGGTTAGCGGGGCAGGTGACAGCTGGCTCTGAGCACCAAAGGTCTATTTTTACCCATGAAATATGTTCATCACTGTCCGTCCCCAGTGCCCTGCCAGCATGGCCTGGCTCAGCCTCACGGGGTCCCCGTCTGTCTCAGGGAGAGGGGACAGACCCGGGGCCTTGACACCGGCCTCCTGGGACACGAGACCCCCATCACCAGGGCCCCAGCCCCCTCCCTTTGTGGGGGGAACAAGGACTGAAGGGCTCCCCACAGTGAGGACCCCCCTGGGGCCCTGCTTTAGGCTGGTGAGGGGCTGCTGACCTGAGAGGCTTCCCCAGAACCCTATTTTTGGGGAGGAAGAGGTGCCTGTGGGGCTGCCCACAGCAGTCCCCCCCTTTGGGGATGTGCCTGAGGGCTGCTTGTAGCAGTGCCCCCCATTTTCCTTGGGGGGAGATGGGGAGGTGTATCCGAGGGGCTCCCCACAGCAAGGACCCCCCATGCCATTCTGGGGAGTGTCTGGGGGGCTCCCCACAACAAGGATTCCCCCTGACCCCTTCACGGAGGGTGTCTGAGGGGCTTCCCACAGCAAGGACTGCCATGTGCCCTTCTGGGGAGTGTCTGAAGGGCTCCCCACAGCCAGGCCCCCTCCCTGTCCCCTTCGGGGGGGGTGTCTGAGGGGCTCCCATCAGCAAGGACCCCCCGTGCCCTTCTGGGGAGTGTCTAAGGGGCTCCCCAGAAAAAGGACCCCACCCTCCCCTTCATGAGGGGCATCCGAGGGGCTCCCCACAGCAAGGACCCCCCTGTGCCCTTCATGGGGGGCGTGCCTGAGGGGCTCCCCACAGCCAGGCCCCCTCCCCGTCCCCTTCACGGGGGGTGTCTTGAGTGGTTCCATACAGCAAGGATCCCCCGTCCCCTTCATGAGGGGCGTCTGAGGGGCTCCCCACAGGAAGGACCCCCCCGTCCCCTTCATGAGCTGTGTCTGGGGGGGGGTCCCCACAGCAAGGACCCCCCTTGTCCCCTTCACAGAGGGTGTCTGAGGGGCTCCCAACGGCAAGGACCCCCTACGCCCTTCTGGGGGTGTCTGAGGGGCTCCCCACAGCCAGCCCCGCCCCGTCCCCGCCACGGAGGGTGTCCGAGGGGCCCCCCGGAGGGCGGCCCGGGCCCGGGGGTCCCGCAGCAGCCCCCCCAGGGGACGCCGCACCTGGATGT